TTCATCTCTACCAATCATACGATACAATAACAATCGTACAGTATGATTTACTATCATTAATTAAACTATAATTTGATTGACTAATTATGAGGGTTAATTTAAGTAAGACTTTAAAATTTCATAACACATGAATAGAATCATATAGTACGATTAGTTCAAAATTGATTTTTCAAAAAATCTTACTTAAATTTTTTGGCGGTTAGGGTTTACACATTGTAATAAATCATACATTATGATTAGTTCAAAGAAACTAATTTTTAATTAACAATTAAGCCCTTTTTCTATAACTGATCGTATAGTATAATTGTAAGTCATAGAGTATGATTAGTATAAAAAAAATTTAACTTTTAAATTTTTCTCACTCCCCCTATGTGTATATACATGATTACCCAATTACATACACTCTTATGTGGTCATACTCAATAAATAGAAAATAAAGGAAAAAATATTGACTTTATTTTCTTGACATTCTTATTCCACCCAATCTTGAGCTTTCAGTAGCCTTGAGTAGTATATATTTTGCCTACAATGTTAGTGCAGACAGACAAAAAAAAATCTATAATATTTAATGAGAAAAATAACAATTCAATTAATACTATTTGTCATCATCAAAATCACATACTAGGGATCCTAGATTGCAATATAATTTTATTAAAAATATTATCGAGAATATTCTTTTCAATGTGCATAACATTTAGATTATGACTTATCAAATTTATAATTATATATGACAATATCTAGAAAATATTTTTTTTTTAATCCAATTATTTTGAAAGTCATATCCAGAAAATTTACACTCTGATAACATTGAGAAATCAATAATTAATGAAATAATATAAATTTTTTGTATTATATCCTAACCACTTAATCTAGGTGGAGAAGGTGACCTCTCAACTCTATTTATAAAGAAAGCATCGTTTCTTCTAAATAGATAATTAGATGGTAGGAACATATGATGACAATCAAACCAAATATTTTTTATTCATATTTTTGTGTAAAAGATTTGATATTCTTCTTGTAGTAAGGGGAAGCTAACTTTCCTCTTGTGCTCTAACTTAAAAACATATAATAAGCTAAAAAATCACCAATGGTCTAAAGCAATGTAGCTTTAAAGAGAAAATTTTGTTTGGTTGAGATGTCATATAAGAGGACACCTTCCCATAAGAATTTATGTCATCAATTAATAGTTTCAAAAAATATCAATTTTTACTTTTGAATTATGTGTTCTTGATATTATAAGTCTTAAAAATATATACAGGATAGTCATGTACATCTATAGTGGAAGGTTGTATGGTGTTAGCATGACTGGACAATAAGAACATGGTGAAGCTTCCTGACTATATGGAGTGAAACTATCAGCACATAATCTCAAACTTATGTTACGTGGCTCAACAACAAACGAAATATGTGTTTGATCAAAATGTTTTCATGCTTCACAATCTGATGGATAAAAAAAATGCTACTGTGACCGAATTTCTCTTTATGTCATCTCATATAACAAACTGAACTCATTGATGCGTAGAGGTGATGATGTCTTGGAATAATCAATAAATAAAATAAATGAGAATATAAAATATCTTTTTTATGACGTTATTTTTCTGAGTTGGGTTTAAACTGAGGTGCATTGCAATCATATGATATAATTTCAGGATTTGGCTGTATGATTAGATTATTTGTAATAGACTGTATTTAGAATTTGCCAATTTTTTTCTAGAGTTATTATAACTCCAAATCATAATCCATCTTTGGTATCATATTTTGATTGTAGTATTTTACTTACATAAAATTTTTCATAATTTTTGAACACTGGCAAAAATTCTTAAGGAATTTGTACCTATCAGTACAAGTGAGAATTTTGAGACCTTCAGGTGTTCATTTTACAAACAGGTTTCATCGATATGATTTTACTACATTGATTTGATTTCAACAGTCATTAACAATATTTTGATTTGATACTTTATATGACTTATGTAATGATTAGTAATACAAATATGACGATTGCTTTATAGTTTTGACATTCGTATTAGTTTACTACTTTACTTGCTTTTATTTTGTAGTTTTTTACTGTTTACCGATTCTACTATTACTGTATTTAAGTTTTACTATTCTTGCACTTATTTAATGATCATATAATTGCTACTCCTATGATTTGATCCTTAACATGCATATTTCTATTTTACTGTGCTTTGAATTCAATTATAGGTTTTGGTGACATGTTGGGTTCTTAAGCTCATTATATGTGGTTTTAAATGATTTCATGTAAAGAGCTTACTGTGTGAAGCTTTATACTGATGCTAGTATAGTTTTTATGTTAGCTTTTGGTTCATGCATTTTTGTAGCCAGTGCGGCTATTGTATATATTTTTTTAGATGCTAGTTGTAGATTGTAATTATTAACTATAGTAATGTGAATTATGTTTTTAATATTTTATTTGCTTTCTTTAATGCAATTAATCAACTATGGATGTCTATATTGATCTGGTTGAAAAAAATATAGAGAATCAAAAATATGTTCTTTCACTTAGATCAAGGGACATTACATTCACATTCTTAATGATTGCTCATTTAGATATTTTAATGGAGCTACATCACATATATTATTCGCTAAGAAAGTCTAGAGTAATTATTCACAAACTTTCAAGAGATTTTTTTTTTTTTTTAAATCCTTGGATAAAAATTCTACTCCCTTGTAAAATTGTTCGAGTAATGAATTGGATGATGAAATGTTGTCAAGTTATACTAATAAGGAAATTATACAATTTAATCATGTATTGTTAGCTTCTTCCTTTTTAATTCATTATTACTACTCATTGTACTTTAACAAGAGACCCCGTATGTTATCAGGCTAAATTGGAGATAAATGGCTCTTTGAGTTAATTTCTTGCCATCTAATTTGGTTTCATAATTTTTTCAGAATGTCGCAGATCCTTTTTAAGGGCTTGCTTGTCTTACTTTAGTTATGTCACAGGCTGCATGAATCACAAAGAACTAACATTAGAGAAGTCCTTGAAATTACATAATTAATTTTAGGTTATAATGAATCTGTTCGAGTAACAACTCAGAGATTCTAATATTCAAAAGAAATAATTAGTAGATATTTTGCTGTTGAGCTTGAAACATTATCTTGCTTGTCACTGGACATTATTTCATCAGAAGATAAGAATTTTCAAAATATCATAGTACACATTCGTTGTGATATGAGATATATGGCATATTTCAAAGACTGCATCGAGGAAATTGATGAAACTCACGTTGATGCACGCATTCATGTGGAAGATCAAATTGCGTTCATAGGATGAAATCATAATCTACTCAAAATGTAATGGTTATTTATGGTTTTGATACGTGCTTCACATTTGTCGCAGTATGAAGAGAAGTTTCAGCACATGATGTTCATATTTTTCAACGTACTTTGACATATCATAGATGTAATTTTCCTACACCTCTAGCAGGTAGGTTTTATCAATACATGAATTTTATATTATTGATATAATATAAATTTATGTATGTAATGGAAGTTGTAAATTTGTTAGCAGAAAAATATTACTTAGTTGACGTAGCTTATGCTCTTCAAAGTGAATTTTTAAAACCTTCCCTAGTACAAGATATTATGTACCATATTTTGCACAAGGTAGTCAATTTGTAAGAGGTTGCTCGAAAATATTCAATAAGAGACACTCCTCATTATGAACTATAATTGAGTGTGCATTTATTGTATTGAAAAAAAAGGGGAATTCTAAGACATGTCAAATTACTCATTAAAGAAACAAAGTATAATAGTCAACGATATGATGACATTACATAATTTTATATGGAGACACCACTCACAGGTAGATCCAAATCTTGATGAATGTGAGATCGATGAGAATTTTGTTTGTTCAGTGGCGCATATGTAGAAAGTTCCAAAATAAATTGTGGAAAATAGTTGAGTGAATAATGATGTGTATTTGGTTGATGGTGTAGGTGCAAGAGATAATATTGCAATACAATTATACAATTTTGGTAGGTAGTATACATTTATGCTAAAGATTAATTCGAATATTGATGAAATTGGGTTTTTATTTTTTAGTCTTGTTGTTTCTGCAAGATGTTCTGATTCCAATATTTTTTTTATATATTTTAGGTGTGCTGATGAGATATAATGTCCAACATATGTAAATTTATGCAGAGTACCAGTGAAATGAAATATGATGATTTCAATTGTTTGTTTAATTTGTTAGATTTTATTTTTATATAATTGAGATTTTTTGTATTGAAGGATACAATGAAGTTTGTTATATAAATTATTGAATGTTGTGTGGCAATATTATCAATATGATTGTAGCTTATGCAAATTGCTTATATTGCAATCCCTCAATTCTGTCCAACTTTGATCTTATATGATCATTTTTCGTTAATGTTGAATTAGAAAATTGACTGACCGATAAATGAAAGATCTAATACACCCGCACTACTAATACACTCTGAGAACCACCAATCTTATCTTGTAGACTTTCAATACTACTGAAGTCACCAAGGATCAGCAATGCAAAATTAATAGGAAAGGAGAGCCAAAAGAATACCAGACCAAAGATTTTTCTTGCAGCAGCAGTTACTAGCATAAATCAGAGTGATTTGGAACTCCACATTGGATTAGTATAATATCATGGATAAATGAGGTTGAGTATGATTGATAAGAAATTGAAGCTTTCATGAATTCCACTTAATCCAATATTAAATTTAACGATTTAAGTTCACGTATGATAAATTTCTTATAAAAGTTTATTCTTTTGATTATAAATCTCTATCAATGGAAGTGATTTAAGGACATGATCTCAATTCTCAAAGCTAAAGCGAATGATAATAAGTTGCTTCTAAAAATTTGTATAAAGAATTAAGCATTCAAAAGTAATGGTTCATTATAATAAGGAAAAGAATGAATTACAATATTCTAATAAAAATTGTAATCAGGTAAGTTTAAATTTTGTTATATTTCTTAAAGGCTTTAGGAATATTAAGAGTATCGTAAAATATTCAAGGTAAGCCAATTCTGTTCCGCTGTACCCCATTTTAAACCCTCGAAAATCGATCCACCCTCAGCGAGCCCCATGGCGATGGCAAAGGCCGCCTCAAAGATGCTTCCATGTGGGCTTCTGGCATCTAGAAGGCTGAGCGTAGAGACGATGCTGGTGGATTCAATGGCAGTAGCTGAAACAGCAACCTTGCCAGAGTTCAAGCCTCTATATCGTCGTCTTTCAGGTCTGGGCGCTACACCGGGAGGGAGTGTAGCAGAAATATTGAAGGAGTGGCAGAGTGAGGGTAAGAGAGTGACGGAGTCCCAGCTCCTGAACTTTGTTCGCCAATTGCGCCGTTACAAGAGCTATAAAACAGCTTTGGAGGTGAGAAATTATCTTTTCACCTTCCTGAAACAAGATTTGTATGGCTGTGATGAATTATTTGTTATTACTTCGTTCATAGTCGTATTTGTTTCTGATACTTGCTTTGGCATAAAGGATATATTTTTTTCTATGAAGTTTTATCTTAGTTGATGCTTCAGTTGTGATCAAGTGCCTCGTGCGATTTATGACTTACGTGCATTCTTTTTTTTTTTTTGGAAAAATAGTGGCAAGCATGCCCAATTTCATTCCAAATAAAGATAAGTTACAAAGATTACAAATGAATAGTAAGAAAAAACAAAGAAAAACTTACAAATTCAAACTAGAACCTAATCAAAGGAAAGAAAAAATCTCCTAAAAATTAGGAGAAAAATTAAAAGAAGCAAGGATCAACGGCAAATAACCAAAAAGGATGGAAAAAAGATCTATCAAAGAAACATCTAAAAACTATAATCACAAGACCCAATGGAGCCGAAAGAAAAAACAGCCCAACCATGTAAAAACACCTCCAAAAAACACAGGAGGCTACACCATTGAAACCAATCAGCTAACTGCTCTTCAACATAATAACCACAGTCCTCATAAAAATCCACAACAACCTCCACGAAAGAGATCCACCAAACACAATAAGATAGCAAACAGGCCTCATATCCAGAGGCCTTCCAACCTCATATAAAAGCCACAACAACCTCGACGAAAGAGAACCTCCAAGTACATGAAGATAGCAAAAAGAATTCGACCCAGCATAGAAAAATAAAAAAACCCCAACCTTCCAAATCTGCAACAAAACAACATAACTAGCACCAAATCATAAGAATAGCCAGCAAACTACTGAAATGGCCTCCATAAAAGCTAACAACAGCACTTCGACTAACAAAAACCATTATCAATTCTGGAACAAGCCAAAATCAGCCACAAAACGCCAGGACACCACCAAACAGCAACCAAAATAGGCTATGGAACTCCAGAAACAACCTGCAATCAAGAACACACCAACAGTACCAGGGAAGGACATAACAGAACCCAACAAGACATAAGAAAACCCCTAAAACAGTCCCAACCACCAGGACTCAGCATAAAGGGAAAGCTTCTAGAACCAACCCTCAATAGATCACCCTTTGGTTGTTGAATTAACCCTATCAGTTATTCTAATTGCCAAATCAACCATCCAAAAAGAGAACTAGAAGGCGCCCAAACATCACAATCCAACTGAAAAACAAACCCAACAAGAAGGAAATAACCCATTAATCAACAAGATGCTGAATATGAGGAAAAGCATTCCAGTTAAAGACCTTAGCACGAACAACAAACCATATTCTTACAAGAATAGTCCTGGCTTTCGAATTTATTCTCCATCTTTCTGTAGTTCCTCTCTTTCCAAATATAATAAATGGAGCAGCAAATATAAAGCAAAAACAAAAATTTAACATCTTTGGACCAATCCGAAATCCAAATATGCTCCAAAACCTGCTTAAGATTTGGCCTTAGCAAAAAGAAATTTAAATCAGGAACAAATTTTGAAATGATACAGAATGAAAAATCACATTCAAAAAATAAAAGTCTATAACAATCATCCCCGATGTTACAAAGAATACAATTTAAAGGCACACTTACATGTATCTTGGCTGGCTTCTTCTATAGTTGAGTAGGGTTCAAGAGCTATTGCTTCCCCATCAGGAATTATGTGGTACATTCGATCTTGCTTTAGAACTTTTGTTTGAGGTGTAGTGATGGTCTTTGAGGGAGATATTTCTGAAGACACGAGAAAATTAGGTTTAGTGTTACTTGAAATAGTTGTAAAATATGTGGTTATAGAAATATTAGTAGTTGGATCTCAATTGTATAATTAAACTTTTTTATTGAAGTTATGTTTGGCCGTTTGTTTATTTTTCCCTGATTTGATCGCTGTTTGATTCTCACTCTCTAATGTTTTTTTATAGTGCATGTTCTAGAATCAATCTTTTAGCTTGAACTTCTGGTTGTGAATTATTATTCCTCTCAACTTTTGGCAAGATATAAATAATGGGTACGATTAAGGAACAACATAGATTATCCTTTTGTGGGTATATTAAACCTCATGAATAAGTGCAGTGAATTTTAAGTATATTAAAGGTGCAAGTTTTCAGTTTTCCTTTGCTACTTGTATTTAGTTGTTCTTCGTTTAAATGAAATTTGCAAAAGAAGAGTTATCGTTTTTAAGATTTTAGTTGATGGTAAACCATATTTACAACCACTTGATTTCTTGAATAACAGCTGATGGATTGGATGGATGCAAATGGCATTAAACTGTCCTCTTGCAGTCATGCCGTGCACCTAGACATTGTTGCAAAATTTAAAGGAATTGATGAAGCAGAGAAGTATTTTGCTAACCTCCCCGAAATTAGCAAGAATCAACAAACAAATGGAGCTCTGCTAAGTGGCTATTGCCAAGGAAAAATGTCTGATAAAGCCATTGCCCTCTTCAACAAGATGAAAGAACAGAACATCAGCTGCAACACTCTAACCTACAATAATCTGATGTCACTTCACATGAAGTTAGGGAATCCTGAGAAGGCCCCTTCATTATTGCAAGAAATGAAGGTAGCAAATGTTTCTCCTGACGCCATCACATACTGCCTTCTGATGAACAGTTGCATCTCCCGGAATGATATTGACTCCCTTGAGAGTTTTGTGAGGGAGATTGAGAAAGATACCAAGGTCCTCTGAGTTGGTCAATATATTCTAACATGGCTTCCCATTTTATAGCCGCTGGTCTCTTTGAGAAAGCTGAATTTGCTCTCAAGAAACTGGAGGCAGTCATGGACAGTCATGATCGAGCATGTTACCATCATCTTATAAGCATGTTTGCAAGTGTGTGCAATCTATCTGAGGTCATTCGGGTGTGGAAATTACAAAAGAATGCCTTCCAAAAAACAACCAATAGAAGCTTCCTGATCATGATTCAAGCTTGTGTAAAACTAGATAAAATGGACATGTTAAAAGATTGTTATGATGAGTGGCAATTTATGCATCTGAGCTATGACATTAGGCTGCCATTTATAGTGATGAATGCTTACATGAGGAAGGATATGATTAAGGAATTTGAGTTAGTTTTAGACAATGTTATTGAGAGGGGCTATGACAATGATTGCTTTACATGGGAAACATTCATTGGATATAATCTGAGGAGAAATGAGGTTGATTTGGCTTTGAAGAGTTTTAAGCTTGCAATTTGTTGTAATAAACCACATCAATGGAGTCCAAAAAAGGAGTTGGTAAAGGAATTTCTCAGATATTTTGAGGTAGCAAAAGATGTGGAGAGAGCAGAGACTTTCTGCAAAATCCTTAAGGATGTTGATAATGTCGATTTGGATGCATATGAATGACTTCTGCATGCATAATTGGCTTCTGGAAGAAAAGATTCTAATGTTCGTCAAAGGATCGAGGAAGATTCAATTGGATTTAGCTCTGAAATTGAAAAATTTGCTGGAAAGCTTAATGCACTTCGTAACTTACCTCTTCTCAGACACAATAGTGACCTAACGTCTTTTCCACCCCAAATCTCTCTCTCTCTCTCTGTGTGTGTCAAAGCATATGCATAAGATTTTATGGAATTATCTGTTCTTTTTTTTTGTTCTCTTTCTTTGTAAGAAATTAAATGTTGAAGAACACAGTTTTTATCACAAGAAAGTATTTGCCAGTTAATTATGATTTTGAAAATTTAGGTCCGAACTTGTTTCCTTATTTAACATAAATTTGAGGAGTCACTTGGTGAAGACATTCGATCTTGTTGTATGGTAAAAGGGCCACGAACCAAAATGACACACCGAAGGGTGTTTCGAGCCGGCTTTGAGTATGTTTAGGCCATTGAGGTTGTTGTTTTCATTTTCATTTTCATTTTATCTTGTTATAAGATGTTTCAAGCCAGCTTTGAGTATGTTTGCGCCATTAAGGTAGTCGTTTTCATTTTCATTGTCTTGTTATTTTATAAATGATTCATCTGTGGCATCTTGTTTGTTTTTCTCTGGTTTTGTTACCAGTTTTGCTTTATTATGTTGGAAAATTTTGATGGTGAAATATGCGAATTGGGGCCAGCTTCTATAAAGCAATTTATATCTATTGTTGGGGCCAGCTTCAATAAAGCAATTTATATCTGTTGTCATGAGGTTTCGTTTAGTGCTAGCGACTTGAGTGACTACCTCAGGTTCTTAGTGATGGACCACACACACTTTTAGCAACACAATTTGATGGTTGAATCTTTTATCTAAACTTTATTTGCCTCCAACGCTGGAAGTTTTATATATAACGTGCAAGAGTTTTCATGAAAATAATCTGTCATACCATCCTGTGAATCTTATGTTTTTCATAATGTAATCCACTGTTAAAATATTGCCATTTATTTTTCATGGCTGTACTGCAATATAGTTGATTCTTTCCAAATGCCAACTTTGTGGTGCTTTGTTTTACTGGTTTAGCAATATGCCTTGCAGTTGATGGATTGGATGGAAGGTCAACAATTAGGTGGTAACCATGCTGTGCGCATAGATCTCCTGTCGAAACTCAAAGGAATAGGCATGGCTGAGGAGTATTTCTACAGTATTCCTGAAACTGCAAAGAATCATCAAACCTACGGTGCTCTTCTTAGCTGCTATTGCTCTGAGAAGTTGAAGGACAAGGCCATTTCCATCCATAACAGAATGAAGGAATTAGGTCTGGCATCAAGTGCTCTAGCTTATAACAATGTCATGAGCCTATATATGAAGTCAGGCCAGCCTGAAGAGGTCAGGAGACTATTTGATGAAATGAAAGCGACCAAAACCTTCCCAGATAAGTGTTCGTACAAGATTTTAATAGAAAGCTACGCTTTACTGAATGATTTAGATTCTATCGAAAGCATTGTACAAGAAATGGAAGTTAAAGAAGGTGCCTGGCATTGGTCACTATATTGTCACCTGGCCGCTATTTACAATTCAGCGAAACATTTTGAAAAAGCTAGGATTGCTTTAAAGAAAGCTGAACTTATGATGAATGGGCGAGATTCATCTCCATTCCCCTTTCTTATAAGCTTATATGCAGCTGCTGGTGATCTTCTGGAAGCGAAAAGAGTGTGGGCATCACTGAATGCCAGGATTCAGAAGTCTCGGTTTCCTACCAACAAGGAATACCTTGTCCTGCTTCAGGCTCTTAAAAAATTGCATGACGTTGCTGCATTGAAGGTGTTATTTGAGGAGTGGGAGTCCAATTGTGTCAGTTATGATATGAAACTTGTGAATGCGGTTATTGGAGCTTATTTGGAAAAGCATATGGTTGAAGAAGCTATACAGCTTCTGGAAAAGGCTATGGAGGAAGGAGCGCATTTGGTCCTCAAGTCATTTTGGTTGTTTATTGATCACTACATCAAAAAGGGTGAAAAGGATCAGGCGAGGAGGTGGTCGGTTGCAGCTTCTAGTTTAGTGAAGAGAGGTCATTCAGGTGGACTGGAATTATTACGAATGATTACATAATTGAGTGTTACGAATGATTACGTAAATGAGTTAATAAACAGGTTAAAAAATTGAGTGTTTAACATTTCATATTAACAAATGATTTCAAAGTCTAAATGAATAATTAATTCAATCAATGTAGAATTAGTATCTAACTATTTGTATAAATTAATTGAGCATAAATTAAATAAGATAATAAATGAGTCATGCAAAAGGTATCAGCAAGCTGTTGATTGAAATAGAGGAGATTTGTTGACCTTGGTATTTGTGTTGCTATCAATTAGAGTGAGTAACGAGAATGGACATCAATCGATCGATGTGATGTTGCATGTAGCGAGTTTTAAATGCTTTGATTGTAGTTGAAATCACTCAAATATTTTTCTTTTGCAAAATGGATTGGGCCGACGTGCTTAAGATGGTGAATCAACCTAAGAATCACTCTTGAAAGTTGCATCTTGCATGATTAAAGAGTAAGAAAGAGTATAAAAGAGTTCATGCTAATATGAAAATGTCTGTCTATGTTTGCTCAAGATAAAATACAAACCAAAGAGGGAAGATTATTGGTACAATCTATCTGATTTCATACATGAGTGTAAATAGAAGTGTAAAGAGTAAACAACAAACATAGAAGAATTACCTTAGCAGGCTCTATGAGGTACCTCATATAATTGCATTGAGTACCAACAAAATGAGCACATGTCCGCGGGGGGTGCTAAAAGAAGAGTTGAAATAGTTTGGATAGCTGATTAATATCCCAGTGCACCAAACAAGGCCTTTCTAATTTGTGGCATTACATGCCAAAAAAGAAGAAGAAGAGGAAGTCAACATTTCCCACCAAAGGGGACCTCTTCCCCGCCAATGATGTTATTTGGTGGCTTCTTCCTCTTCCTTATAATGATGGCAATAGACTCGAGCTATTGTAGTTCCTTGGCAAAATGTGCTTGTGATATTCAAAGATGCAATTTTGTAAGATTAAAGATTGTATTGGAAGAATCCTCCATAAATTTCTATTTTGCAGGAGAAAACACAACCTGTATTGGGGTAGCAATCTTGTTTTCTTAACCTCTGGAGAGGTGACCAGAAGTAGTTACCATTGGTTTTAGCTTCCTCATAGTGATAAGGGTCCATGATCCATACTCCTTAAAGGACCTTTCCAAGTTTTGTTGAATTTAAGGGCCTTCTTGGTGGGGCAAGCTATTACATTATTAAGGCAATGAGATAGTATCATCAAGCTGTATATGAGAGGGATATCTACTCTAGTGTTCCTTATAAATGGGTTGGCCAGAGCTGGGAATGTTGTAGATTGTGTTTGAGTGTGCAAAGCTGTAGGAGGTTGCACCTTGGTTGATTGTTAAGATCAGGGTTTGACACTATTCAACTTTGTGACAAATGTGCCCACATTATAAGCAAAGATGTGGGAGGCCCTCATATTTAATTCTTTGAAAAAATTCCCATTTCACTCATTTATCTAAAATCTTGGCAGCAATTTTTGTGTCAAATAAATGCACACACAAACTCTAGGGTAAGAGTTTTCACCCTATGAACTAGTTTGTTTGTTGTGGGCTCCAAAAATTTCCACCTCGGCCTCCCCCGCCATCAGGGGAGTTTTAACGAATTAAGTTCCAGGGTAAATTTTCAGAAGAAAGATTGGGGTTTTAATAGAGACTACCTAGAGATTTCGCCCTCATTTTGCGAGGACTTTATGATTTGAGTTTTTGTTTTCTATGGGCCCAAGCCTCTATAGTTAATTACCCCTCCCAATAGCGAGAGAGAACTTTCGATTAAGGCTAGTTGTCAATCAGATATGTAGAGATACTTGATATGTGGTGTATAGTAGCAACATGAGTTTATTTGTTGAAAATTTGATACTTAAAATAATAGATTTCATCATCTTGCACTTAAAGAAAATGGTGGGGGAGTAGATGATTGACTATATCAAGATCCCATGGGCCTGTCATCCCGGGCCATCATGGACCTTGGTCTACTTAGTTAAAGGAGCTAGTCGACCAAACCTGACAGAAGGATCCTTATCGGTAGCCATGTGTTGCTTCGTCTAAGGTTACCTGATGTTGTACCTTATAGACTTTGGGTGGATGCTTGTCTAAGGGGACTAATTTGAATCCATCTTAGTCGATAGAGGGCTTTATGCTTTATCGATCATATTATATTGATTCATATCTCAGGGATTTAGTGCCATTGTGGAGAATATGAGCTATGACCATGACCGTTAATATAATAGTGTCATTTAGCAATAAACCACTTGGTTTAGAGGATCCCAGTCATGGGCTTCTGGGAGGAATTTCTGAATGTTTGGAGACCCCTCTAGTTGTTATTTTTTTCCAACACGATCATCATCGAGATATTTATGAGCACTTTTTATTTAGTTGATTGAACCTTATCAACTTTATTAATTGTTGGCAGAGGATCGAGCTCTTAGTTGGCTTTATGCCTTTATTAATGAATTTTTCTTATTATAGGAATTGAAGGCCTAATATGAACATATTAAAATAAATATCTTGGTCATTGCAGTGACTATATATATGTTTGATAGCTCGAGCCATGTCGACTCCTATCTACCCGCATAGAAGGACCGGACTCGAACATGGATTTATTATTTGATTTGTGCAACATCCTTAGACATTACGTATGTACCCATAACACACTCGTTGGGGCCCATGCATGTATTTAGGGGCTTTTGTTATTATCTATTGAATATTGTCGACTCTCTCTAATTATTGACAGTGGACTAGGTTCATAGTAGGCTTTATGCCTTTATTGGTGATTTTTTATTATTTACAGTTCTTGAATGCCTAATATGAATGTATAAAATAATTGCCTGGGTTGACACTGTGACCATACATTTGTTCAATGATTTGAGCTGTATCGACTCCTATCCACTTGGGTAGGAGGATTGGGTTTAAACTTTAGACTTATTGTTTGACCCACGTAGCATCGTCAAGCATCACATGTGTACCTATAACATACTTGTCGGGGCCCATGTAGGTGTATATTCTTACATATATATAGATTAGTGTGTTTGGATGTGCACTTTTATGTATGTGTGTATACATGTTATAATGTATGTGTCGGGGCATTTTTAGAATGTTTGACTTTAGTCAGTTGTGCAAGCAACTATCATTTAAACATGCACAATGTTCTATTTGGGAACTTGTGGCTTTCTGTCTACTTGTATGCATGTTGCGGATCCGGTTATGTGGCGTAGCAGCTTGTGGATTCCTTCTACGAGTGTTGTAGATTAGGCGGTGTGGCATTGTGTTTTAGTGGAATTTATAAACGCCTTCTTTCAACTTGCATGGATGTTACATAGCTGATGGCATCGTGCTGCGGGTCATTAGCTTTTTTGTGTAGGTGAATGCTCGAGTTTGTTGGCAGTCTTCTGTATTTGCTCGTGGATAGCACTTTTTGTACATGATGGGTCTCCTATGGTAGTTAGTGTGTTCTACTGCATATACCATCACCACTCATAGGTAAATTGACAAGTTCTTTTATAAGTTGATGTCGATTGCTAGGCAAGTTGCATTCACTATTGATTTCCCCACATATGTTGTCAGTAACCTGCTATGCCCACAATATGTTTGACATTCAACATTTATAGGTAGTTAGTGTGTTCGCGACAAATTTTTCATCACTACTTGTGGGTATTTGCATTCAATATAATCTTCTACGTTTGCTTGCATACAAATTTGTGTGTTTGTTTGTATCTTGATGTTGATTGCGAGGATACTATAATATTCTTGCTACAACAGCTTGTAAGCGCTTTGTATGTGTTGTAGATATGTCGCATTTGCATGACATTGAGTTCCTATTGACTGCACAAATGTCCTCGCGTTTACTGCATATCATATATATATATATA